AAAAAAAAAAAAAAATAAAATAAAATAAACAAAAAAAAAATTAAGGAAACATAAAGATCGATTTTTAGTCCAAATAGATTGAGCGTGAAACGAGAAATTAAAAATTTCTTAATAACATTTAATTATTAATTTTTCAAAATATTACAATTAATCTATTTTTTTTTTTTTTTCTGTCGTATTTTCTTTGTAGATTTTTGAGAGATTTTAATTGTTTTACTTAGATTATCTTTATACGTATTCCTGCCATTGCACACTAATATCCTGTAGTATGTTTTACTTTTATTTTCATTAATTAATTTGCGAGACTTTTGTTTGTCGTGGCAGTGAGCTTTTACATTTCTAAATATTATAAATTAAACAAAAAACCAAAAAATAAAAGAAAATATTAACATATTTTGAATAGACGTATATACGCACAGATGACGAATGAAGTGGACTTAGACCAGAACCCTTTTAAAAATAAACACAAAGAAAATCAGTAAAGTAGGGCTTGCATTAAGAAGAATCTATGATGGTCATTCTCTCATACATAAACATGTCGCAAATATTTCGTTAATTGTGGACATTTCGCATGTTCGTGGAGTTTTGCATTTTAAATTTCTAATACAAATTTTTTACCCTCTATAGGGTACTAAATAAAAACAATATGTAGAACGTGCATATACATTCTTGATTAAAAAATTAACAATGAACATAATTCGAGCAGACGTACACACATTACTCTTCCTGTTGAGATTACGATTATTACTTCAAAACTTTGCCTAAGAAGAGGTATTTGTTCCCATTTTATTCTTTTTTTTTTTTTCTCTCTCTTACTCGGGTTGCTTGCCCTGAGTTTTACAATTGTAAAATAAATAAGAAAAACGGGGTCTATATATATAAAAATCACCTCTGAGATGCTGCCAAATGATATGAATGAGGGGAAATGTGCTAAGTACGATTATATCGAAAGATTTTCTTCTTGTTTTTTATCTATGCAGATATGGAGACTTCCAATGGTAATAGAGTTTTCGCACTTCCTTTTTTCTCATTATTACTTCAATAGCAATCTAGCAACGATCCTTCGATCCTTCCTTATTGTTAATGAAAGATCTAAGGTTTATGTTAAAAAGTTTTTCCTGGAATTAACATTATCAAGCAATCAAAAACTAACATCATTTTTCAATATAAATTACATAAGTCACGATAGACGCAGACCTCGAACTGTGCGACTTCGGGAAGTGATCTATGCCACTAACCGTTTATAAAAAAAAAAAATTAATAAATAAAATGGAAAAATTAGCATTTAAATTAAACTAAAAAATAAAACTCACCTCCACACAAAACATTATCAACTTTTTAGTACACACAACCTGCTTTACAAACAAAAATCTTCCATCACATATAAGTATATACCTTAAAAAAAATTATTTTGTGCTCCAAATTTAATCAGCAATAGACAATTCCTCACTAAGTGTTGAATTTTCCAATAGATCTATAGGTTTCTCGGTTTCATTAGCATTCGGATTTTGTGCAATATCTTCTTGATTTGTGGATATGGGTTTTGTAAAATTTATTGCTCCTGTCGTCGCCGCTGCAATCGTTTCTCCCCATTCTATTAAATATTGCATTTGACCATTGGGTAATTGACGTTTGGCACGTATAGAGAATTGTTCTCCAGATTCAATTCGATTAACGGCACCAAAATATTTATTAACCGTTTGCTTTAAATCCTCGCTACTCACAACAGAAGTTTGATTGGATGAAAGGGTATTATTACTTGTGGGAATTGTGCCCGCAGCAAGAACTGTCGTCGTACAAGTTGACGATGTTGAAGATATTGAACTACGTCGACTATTATTAGGAGATATTTTCTGAGGTCGTTGTCTTAAGCGTCGTCCATGTGTTGGCATGGGTTTGGTTTCGCTACCCTGTGAAACTGTTGAATCGTTCTGTACCAGTGTTGTTGGCAAACAATGACCAGAAGGACTATTGGAATTTGCATTATTTTCGGATGATATAGGTGGCACTAACGTATTGATTTTGGTTTGTGTTGTAAATAAAGCAGCTGCTGACGAAGTACTTGCAGCAGCAGCGGCTAATAAATCTTTGGCATGTATGGGAAAGAAATTTGTAGGTATAGGATTTATGGTTGTTGTACTTATAACCTTCAAAAGAGAAAAAATAATGTAATAAGAAAAAATTTGTGTTAATTCGCATCACACTTTTTACCTCTACATTTGCTGACAGCCTGCGGGTGCGTCTTCGTCGCACTTCCTGATTTGGCCCAATCGTTATGTCTTTGGCACTCAGTCTGCGTTTAATGGTACGTACTGTCCTTGGCTGACCGGCAGCCTTGGCCAGATTACCAGCACTTAAATTGGGAAAAATACCGGCACTTTTTAAAGCCGCCAATTTGCTGCTAAAACTTAAAGCCGTTGTATTGAAAATGCTACTCTTAAGAATGGTTCTACTGTTGCGGGCAAAGCTCACTGATTTTTTAACTCCACCCAAAACTCCAATTTCAGCCGCTTTCTTCTTTGGTGTAACCATTCGAAAAGGATTATTCTGACCAAGGAAATTCTTAGGAGGGGGTATTATTAAATCTAAGGAAGTACCACGTGAGCTGCTGCTTGAGTTTTCATCCGAAGAAGTTTCAATTAAACGATGACAGTCATAAGTTTTCGTTAAAGTAAATGCTTTACGTTTACGGCTGCTCTTGACTGGCTTTAGTGCATCTTTTTTTATATTACTTTCAGTTAATGGTTTCTGTGCAGATTGTTTATGATCATCTTCGTTACTGGTTACTGTCTCAGACGAAAACTTCTCTTCGATTACTAGTCCTGTTGACGTATCTCCTTTCTTTGTTGTCCTTATTACCATTTCTTTGTCAATTTGAGGTTCTGTTGGAGTTTCTGGTGTTAATGGCCTTTGCAATATTTTCTCAGTTGGCTCTGGATCTATGCTAACCGCATCGTTGGCATTATCGTCTTCCACATCGATTTTTACCAATGACTTCTTCACCTTATCCTTTATGTGTTTAATGGGTATCTCATCTTCGGATGAATCGTCATCGTTGTCATCGTGATCATGTTCGGCGTCTTCTTCCTCTATGCGAAATTCATAGATATCTCGATAATGAAGGTTGCTATCCTCCAATTGTGATTTCGTTGTAGGTATTGCTTCAAAATTCTTCTCTTCATCATTTTCGCGCAGATCGATTATTTCAATCACTTTATCCTCTAAAGATGTGTATATTTTCAAATGAAATTTCTCTTTAAGGCAATCATCAGTTAAAATATCGTCTGATGATACAGTAATTTCTGGAATGACTGGCGGTATTATATTCCGTAAACCATAAAAGAATTGTTTAGCTTCTCGACCACAAATGAAGCTATCTTTATTCTCCTTCAAAGTACGTCGCAAATTCTCTTTGAATTCCGCCGCAGGCATAACACGCCACTGTAAAAGCTTAAGTGTAAAGATATCGAATGAGGCTAGAAATATAAGGCAACAATACCTCGGGTGGTATTGGTAGACTTCGTTTATGTTCTTCGGCAAATGGTAGAATATCTCTAATAAAATGATGATATTTTTGATGATATTTTTTGGCCAATGACAAGTTGTACAAGATTAAATGTAAGAAATCCAACCAATCCATTTGTAATCGTCTTAGAAACTCGGGACCTTGGTTACATACCGAACAGCTGAACACAAAATATCTTCAAACAAAAAAATTCATTCAAAATATTTTTAAACAATTATAAAACCAAGTGATTTTACGTACCCATCACCTCTTAGAAGCTCCTTATACGACTGTTGCGTACAGTGCGTATGATACCAGTTTCGGCAACGACAGCATTGCAGCATATTATGATCGAATTTTCCCGGACGCCCGCAATAACAGTATGTTTGTTCCTCGTTAACACGATGCTTTTTATCCCAAACTAAAGAAAAACGCTAATAATAAAAAAATGGAGAATAAAGATCGGAGAAAAAATTTAAATATCACTGCTTTCGAAACTTACATTGTAAGATAAACTTAAACATATATTATCCTCTCCATCGATGTCGGAGTTGCTTTGCAACAATTTCATAGGTTTGGCACAACGCTTACATAACCATATACCGCTACCCAATTCGGTTTCACGAGTGCATTTGCGATGATAGCCACGACCACAACGTTCGCAAGTTTCGACTTTTGCATCGGGAACGGTAAGCTTGCAAGCTATACACATTGGCTGATCGTTTTGAGATTTATCTTCTCTGGCGCAATTAGCACTTGACCCACCCAGTTTTCGCATCTCTTCCGATATGCTCCAAACTTCGGTTTTGTCATCGAAACGTATACGATACTGCGGTCGTACATAATCAATAATGGTACCTAAATAAAAGCGACCATCGGCCCGTTTAATCAAGACATCTTCGCCCATGCAAAAGTTTGCTACAGCTACAGACTTGGAAGAGTCCTTCGCAGCTATTTCCATTTTGCTCTTTAAAATTATAGGAGAAGTGGGTGTAAGTGGTGTTATAGGTATGCTTGTGGTAGTTAAGATATGAGGAGATGAACTGATTTTAATTGGTGAATTGATTGTATCTTTGTTGCCAGTTTGCTTCGAATCTCTTGCTATGCAGATGTCAGTCTCTTTTAAATTTTTCTTTTGGCTTATCAAAGCAAAATTGGAAAAATTTTTTTTGCTCGCCATCAAGGAAGAAAACGTCTCTAAATTCTTAACCGCCGCAGATGTGCTAGGGCTGTTATTGCCGCTGCAACTGCTGGTAATAGTAGTAGTAATCAAGCTACTATTGTTATCGCCACCACTACTACCTGAAGAGTTGCCCAAAAGAGATGGCGTATTTTCGGGCGTTGTGGGTGGGGTATGCGGGGTGGTGGCGGTTGTAGTGGAATCTGGCTCATCTATAACTAGAGCATTCGACGACTCAAATGAATCTTCACTTGGCAACGGCGGTTGGACCACTACGCTCTCTATAACAGCCTTGTGCTGTATGGCTGGTATAATAGGTGAGGGCTGTTGGGCAGGAATTGATGAATTTGTGTTTGTTGAACCCGTAGTGTCGGTATACAAATTATTAATACATATATTAATGCGATCCAATACCACGGTTGAACCAGCGGTCGTCGTACTTGAATTTGGAGTGCCGCTCGTTACTAGAGTAGTGTTTGTAGGTGTAGCAGTTGAAACGTGTGCATTTGCATTTATATTATTTAATATTTTATGTGACGCATTGGATGCTATAGGAGAGGATCCCTGCATATCAGACGCCACATAAAATCCATGCGATAGAGGCGTAATAGCAGTGGCCGCCGAAGCTGCAACATGTTGCTGCGCCTGTGCCGCATTAAAGTGCTGAGTACCACTAAAATGTTGCGGCAATAATTCTGCTGCACTTGATGTAAAAGAAGCTAAATGAGCTGGAAATAAATGCTGCACTTCTTTATTGATGTTATTGCTAAGATTATAAAGATGTGGAGAATGCTGCAATGGCGCAGTTGTAATCGGTAAAGTAGTTGGGGGATTGGTGGAAGTAGACACAATACGCAAATTACCCGTTGCAGTACTGCCCGGCAAAGTTCGTTGATCTATCGTTGGAGCTGAAGTAGTTTGATGCGGGAAATTATTTGTTATCAAAATTGTGTTGCTTTGATTCGCAGACGAAGCATTTAGTGCACTCGTTGATGGGCGTGTTGTGCCATAAAATTGGCTACCATTAACGCTATTCACTGCCCCAAGAGCTCCTGCCGACGTTGCAAAATATGTTTTATCCAAGCTATTGGCTGACAATTGCAATGGAGTGCGATCAGTATAGACAGCACCACCAGCCATAGCTACAGCCAACTGAGGATGATGATTGTGTGTTTGATGAGTATGAATATGATGATGATGATGTTGCCCATTAAAATAACTACTTAGAGGGGTGGAACTAGCCTGTGGCTGTGATGTGCCCACATGGCTCGGTATAGTAAGAGGTTGTTGTTGTGTTGGCAAATTTGAGGTATTATAATTATTATTCATCATTGTACACTCTATGAATTAAACAGATACTGAAGGAATTGGGGCGACCGCCACTGAATAAAAAAAAAAAATATACAGAAAAAGATCAAACCTGTACAAACAGCCTTACACTTTCAGATAACTCTATTTAAAAACAAACAATACATATTTGAATGTCTTGAGAATTTTATAGATGATATCAACGATCTGGTGCTTGACAATTGAACACAATGTATTTAACTATTTATAAGTGTTACAAATCGAACGAGAGATTAATATACCCTCGTTTTTCTTTAGATGATATAAAATGCATCGGCAACATGTTGCATAAATGCTATAACAAAACTTCTGTATACACACACACCGGCTGGGTTTGATGAAAACAATAGGAAAAATTTTATTGTACATAAATCCAATAAAACTATAGTATTCTACTTAATTTGTAACACAAACATGGATTTTACTTTAGCAGCTTCTCTTCTTGTTATTTCTGTTATTTTTTTCTTTTTCACAGGCGCCTAAAAACTAAATTTTTCAACATATTTCTAATACCTTTTTTGCGTATGTACGCCGATTATTTCTTTAAAAGTGTACACTTGAGCGCATTATCTTTCTACTGATAAGTGTTTTTCAATACAATTTTGTAAAACTTATGTAGAATTATAATTTATCTCAATCAATTTTCGTCGCACTTGAATAGAAAATATTAATACTCGTCAGCCATTTTTCCAACAACTGATTTTTTTTCGTGTTTTCATCTTCTCGGGATTTCATTCCTTTTTGCGCCAATAATACAGAGTTGCATTTTGTGAAGCTAAGAATGCTAACACTCAGAAAAATTTAATCAATTTTCTTATTCTCTTTCTAGGATACGAAAAAAAAAAGTGGACTTACTTTCATTGAAAACTAAATTGGAGCACTCACGCAACGAAGCGTCATTTTCTTTTTACAGGAAAATGTAAACAAAAAAATATGGTTTTAGTACCAAAAACAAAGACATCATGGTAAACGACAACAACAAATTTTGTAAACAAATAACAATCAGAAAATTACTACGAATGTAAATTAACTTATTTACCGATTAGATATTTCTAGATATAGATATTAGATATATTTTTGTGTATTAATTTGGGAGCTATCATTTATCAATCTTTAAAAACGCATTTGATGAATATACATCAGCTTTAAAATACATTGTCTTTATTGCTTGTTCTTCATTTCTTAGAAAATAATGCCTGGTTTAAATTGAATTTGCAAATTACATAATATCAAGAAAAATGTAAAATAAAACATGTACATTAGATTAATAATTTTTAAATTTAAAACAAATTGTCGTTATTTCGTCTTGTGCGTGGTTTTCGTTTTGCTTTATTTGTATGTATATATGCATCTGTATTTTTACTTTTAATATTGATATTGTGCAGTACGTTAATACCTTCTTGAATTATATTGTTGTTATTACTAAGAGACTTGTAGTCTTCTTAGTGCGTTAATATTAATTATAATAAGAACTATTGTTATAATTTTTACTGATACACTAAACTAAGCATGCAAAATCATATGACTTTTAATTCCCATAAAGTGTTGTAAAAAGTCGGCAAAGTTGAAGTTCCATCACGAAAATAGACATAATGACTTATTGTGTCAGTCCTCTTACTGTGTAGTACCTAAAAAATATTAGTCCGATATAGAGACGAAGCGCCTATCTATACAGAATTTCTGAAGTTCAATGCACCGTTATAAAGGAAGTAATAATGCCTAACAAAAGAATTCATTCAATATATCGGGAATTATTATATATAAATAAAACGACTAATTGTCGTTAAGTACATATTCATTAAATATTTTTTATTATTATTAAGTATATATTCATTAAATTTATTTTATTTGAAAAAAATTGTGAAAATAGAACGACTTATTTTTTCTAATTTGCAAAAACATGCTAAGCAGTCCACGAAACTTCTTTACACAACCCCTTTATTCCCATTTGTGGTAATCATATTATCATCAATTAACAAATGTAATTGTAATGATAACTCAGCAAGGAAAAGAACTTGTGAAATTTTGCTAAATTACGCTGTGAAAATATTTTTTACAAGAAGGAACAAAGAACTTTTGAATTAAATTAAATTAACGAATTTGAAAAGAGAATTTACTTTCTAAAAATCATAAATAATTCCCGGTAAAGTCTGTAAGAATTCTAAGTAATTATAGATTTAAGAAATTTTCCCTTCGTTAGTTTATTTCGTCGTGAACTTTCATCATCGTGTTTCTTGCTTCTAATTTTTTTTTTTTTTCTTGTAACCATCTTTTTCATACATTTCCTACATAATGTATGCTGTTTTTGGCTACACATGCGGTGGTAAACAAATTGTTTAGATAAAAAGTAAAAAATAATTAAAATTGAATTTAAAAATATGTGTTATAAAAATATATTTATAAGCATTTTTGTTATATGTTCGCAGAATCATTAATGAATTCTTTTTTAAAGTTTGTGCGTTCCTTTTTCATTTGCATTTTCTTTTAAAGTGCAATGTACCTGCCTGAAATCGGTATTTTTGTTTTGTTTGTTGTATTTTTGTAAACGCAATATTTTTCAAACAAAACAAACTCTCTGACGTGTTTTTGTCGAAGTGAAAAGTGTGAAGTTTCAAACTTTATTAACCTTTGCTATTGTTATTAAATATCAATCATTTGAATAGGACGTTGCCTGTAATGGATGCAAGGGTGTTTATTATAAAATTCTCACATCTTATATTGTAGTTACAAAAACGCAATAGCAACTATTTGCAATAAACTCAACAACGGATACAAAAAATATGCATACGTTCACCGAAACCGGGGCTGGCGTCCCGGCATTTCTAGCTAAACTTTGGCGTCTGGTAGAAGATCCTGAAACTAATAATCTCATATGTTGGAGTAAGGTAAGTGTTTTGACGCCTAAAGATTCACGCCTAAAAGTACATCTGTTTATATATTTGAGTGCACTCGTAAACATATAGACCTGGGAGACATTAAGGATAAATATATTCATGTAAATTGACATCAAAAAATTCAACAGGAGTTGACTTTGTTACGTACGAGATAATAGATTATTTATACTTTCCTTTCTTCTTCTAATATTGCATGGTATCGATCAGGCATAAAGGACAAGGGAAGAGTTAACCGAATGTAGATTTTATTCAATAATTTATGATCATTTCATTTAAACGCATATATATCTAAGGATATCTAACAGAAATATCAAGGGCTATCAAGGGTTCTCCGTTATAAATTTTATGCATTTCCTCCAGATATTTTCACAACGCTTATTATCAATAGTGAAGTGGTGAAAGGACAAATTTTTCAAAATTTATTTTAATCACATTATTAGTTAAATGATATTGTTGCAAATAAACAGAATACAATCTCTTGGTAACAGTAAAATAATTAGATTTAATTGTAGTGCTCCGGACGTATAATATGTAAATAAAATCTAAGTATCTAATAAAAACGAAACATCATCAACTGTTCATTTTGTTAGGACGAGAGTGGAAGAAAAATTTTTATATGACTTAATTTCATTTTCTTATCAAAATTTTGAAGTCATAACCTCTTGTCAAATATAATAGAGAGTTAAAGAATAAACTAAAAATAGATCCTTTCAATCTGCTTGAAAGAAAGTAGATCGACATATAACTATAAAGAGATTGACCATAAGCTAATTTGACCTTAAAATCATATTCTAAATGCCTGATCAGAAGTTATATTCTTATACTGATGGATTTCCCCAATAGTGAAAATTGCAAATCAATTTCATTGATTTTATTTCAATTTTTTTGAATGATTATCAAAATGTTTTAGTTGCTACGTACAAGTCAATAGTGCTTCCACGTCGGGCAGATGTTTATTTATTCATGCACGACAATGGCTTGAGAGGGTGGGAAATCCGTATTCCCACAATAACTTAATGTGCGTAAATACGTTTTCTCCTTTGTGTTTTTTTGGTGCACATGATATCATTAAATAAAAAAATAAAAAAAAAAATATTTGTTTTTACTTTATTAAAACTTTTATTTGGTATGTTATTAAATAAAAACAGAATTTTTTCGATTGTCCTGAGACATATGAGACATATGTTTATTTTTTCACTTACAAGAGAAGATTAATTTTTTGGGTAGTTCGAAACGTACCCTTGGTTTCTCAATCACCAAACAAGAGTGGTGTGCTACGTTTATCAGAGACACAATAATAATTACAATAAATATACAGTTTTTCGATCAGTGTAAGGAGTTGTTTTGGCTACCTGTCAGTCAGCGGACTCTCCCTCTCCACAATAACCATAATTTATTGTTAAGTTTTTAAATGAATTATTCTTTCCACTTTTTTGCAGGATGGCCGAAGTTTTATTATACAGAATCAAGCTCAGTTCGCTCGTGAACTGTTGCCACTCAATTATAAACATAACAATATGGCTTCATTTATACGGCAACTGAATATGTGTAAGTCTAAGTATACTTTTAGTGTTTTGATTTTCACGTTTATGATGGTTTCTATTGACTTTTAGATGGTTTTCATAAGATCACTTCCATCGATAATGGTGGACTTAAATTTGATCGTGATGAAATGGAATTTACCCATCCATGCTTCAAACGTAATTGTCCATATTTGTTAGAACATATTAAGCGCAAAATTGCTTCTGCCAAAGTCGTGGATGATAAGGCGACCGTTAAACCTGAAGCGGTTTCGAAAGTATTGCAAGACGTGAGGGCCATGCGTGGTCGTCAGGATTCATTAGATTCACGATTTTCGGTTATGAAGCAAGAAAATGAAGCATTGTGGCGGGAAATTGCTTCACTGAGACAAAAACATGCTAAACAACAACAAATTGTTAATAAATTAATACAATTTTTAATCACAATTGTTCAACCGCAACGTAATATGACTGGCGTTAAGCGTCACATGCAGCTCATGATAAACGACAATCCAGAGAACGCTACAAAAAGTCGTAAAACAAGTGAAGGTGACTCGAATTGCGGGCCTGTTATACGTGAATTGAGCGAAGAGTTGCTAGATGAGGTTGCTGATGTTGAGCCGGAATTAATGTAAGTTGAATTACTCTAAACTTAACTAAATGTTATCAAAAGCTCATGAGAATTTTTGTTATGACAGAGTGCCCAACAGCCCTTTCGAGCACGCCGCGGTACCATCGCAATCAGACAGCGAAATTGCTGCTGCTTGTTGCTCTCCACAAAATTCCGAACGTCCTCAGTCCAGCGTAAGCATGGTATCGCAAACTTATGATTATTCCAATCAAAGCACCGAGGATTCAATGGGTTTCGGAAATAATAGCGCTACTAATAACACTAATAACAAATGCAGTACTCCCGCTAGCGTAGTAATGGAAGGTGGTCTTGTACAAGCAGTGGGACCAGATGGCTTAAAAATTATTTATCACGTTACCGAAGTACCAGATGCACAGCCGCAAGATGCAGCACCGGCATTACCAACTAATTACAATGAGGAAAATGTTTTAACTACGCCAATGGTACGAGAAGAAATGGCCCGTACACAAATGCTTAAACAAAAAAATCGCCAGCGTCGTCAAAAAGTTTCAACTTCGTCAACTTGTTCCTCGCCTTTGCTCGTTTCTTCCTCTGAACCTAAGAAACCGTGTTTAATTAATAAGAGCGGTGAAAGTGGCGGCACTGTTAGTGCCAATCTACCGAAGTTCCAGCCGATAGAAGTAAAATCGGAACAAGATATTGATCCCATGTTATTCTTGAATGCTTATCCAGAAAATCGTGGCCTCACCCCTGATCCTAATCTAATTTCACCGAGTTTCAGTGAGGATTCACGACAATCTTTAGCAAACTTGACCGCCGGCATTTTTGGTAGTGCTTCTCCACGTACCTCATCTACAAATGCAATTGGCTCTGCAAACAGTGGTGATTTGTACAATCCGCATAATTTTATCGCCAACGATATACCAGCCGATATATTTGAGGTAAATTGAGAGACACAACACTTAACGTTTTCATTCTATTTCTTTCAAAGGGGAAAAGAAAGAAAGATAGAATAGTTAGCAGCGTAGTAGGTCGTCTCAGCTATTACAGGAATTATGCGAAATGTAGATGTTTTGGATCTTGGAGTTGGCCCTTGTGCGTTTTTGAAAGTTATTCTGTGAGATTTACTTGCGATAAAATTATAAGAATTAAGGCAGCTTCGGAGGAACTCTTTCGTCCAACTATTATGGTTTCTAGGGCAGAAAGACTAATTAATCCTCTGTATGGGAACAATGCGGAAAGAATATGTATAGAGTAGACGGGTATATAACGAATTTGTGATTATTAAAATCCTTGGATAATTGTTGATATTAATATGGGCTTTATTAGGCAACGTTTCGCTGTTTTTTGTATTTGAATTTAAATTTATACTTAAAACTTAAGCTGATTATTTCATGTGAAGTTCAAAAAACTTTTGATAACATATTACATAATAAGCGGCATAATGCTGCATATAGAAGGTTTGGTGATCTTCAAAACTTGCACTCGACTCTTACATTTCTTATTTCACATGCATTGTTACCGCTGAAGGTTAGTCATTGATATCAGATTTGTTTGCTCATTAGTATTTGTATTTGTTCTTGGCCTAAGCTTTTTTGTTACCAAGAGACGGGAGTTTTGGAATATAAATTTGCAACATTTTTTTCATAATAAAAGGCGACGAATAAAATGCGAAAAGGGCGTCACTTATTATATTATAATATGAAACAAGTATAATTTAGATTTGTAGCAGACATTCATCTGAAAGGATATAAAGATTTTATGGAAAATTAGCCCTGACTGTCCAATATTAATAAAATTTCTAAAAATATTTATATAGCGATTACTACATTAGTACATCTTTTACATTTTTCAATTTCTGATATATTTCAGTGGGTTGATCAAAAAATTTAAAAAAAAAAAATAGTTCTAGTCAAGGAAAATGCCGTCCAAAGTTAGGCAAAATGTTAAAGGACTATGCTGTGATTCATTTTGAAATGCTAAAATTCCTGCTTATAGGTCACTTTCGTCTTACACTTGATATAGATAATCCCATTCAATTAAGGTTCTTTGCGTCCCCTTTACGGCATTACTTTTTAGTGCCTGAATACATGTTGACGTAGAATCGAAACCAGTTCAGGAATAATGTCCAGATATTGAATGCGTTCATTACATAGATTGTTACAAGAATACACTAAAAGACATAGCTACTAAATGTTGCTTGATTGCACTAAGAATTGCATTTTAATGCATTTTATAGGATTCTTCAATTATCTCCTCTCCGAGCGATAATAGCAATTTTAGCGGCGAAAATTTGAAAATACCCCGACGGCAACAACAATCGCAACAGCATGTTTGTGTTCCTTTAAATAACGGCAAATTTTCTTCGCATATGACGGATAATAATTCAAGAAGTATCATTAGTAACGACACTGACGCCAATAAAGTTAACAATAACCGTGCCTCTACATCCGCAACGGCAACTGCATCTGCTTGCACTGACGATTCCGAGAACAACGATAGCAAACAGACAGTGGTATTACCATCCACTTCGAAGGGGGCAGCTGTTGGTGGAACCAGCAATGACCTGGCAGTTGCCAAATATACAAATAATAAAGGCAACGAGGATTTAATGCGGTTGAGTACTGCGTTAGTAACTAAGATAGATCTTGGTTACATTTCAGTATTCAGACAATATATAATTTTTTTGTTGCATTTTTAAATAGTGATGAAGTCAATGGTCATTTGGATAACGTACAAGACGAGTTGGATACACTGAAGGATCTATTACGCAGTGATATTTATTCAATGGATCATAACACACTTTTAGGTGTAAGTGTACCAATTATTAATGAACAACATGATGGGGATGATGTGATTGATAATACCGATATTGGTGGGCATCGAATAATGCACTTAAGCAAAATAATGAGGATACTTATGAACGTTTAGTTCAAGGCCATCTTAACGTTATTCGATTTCTTAATAACTTTCTATTTGATGCTATTGACAACGTAGTCAAGTAGTTGAGTATTTTTGAAAACTTACGTAAATTTGCTTTTACGAAGCGAACGATCACTTTTGTGGGGTCGACAATGCTATATTGGACATTACTGGAATTTGAACGCGTTATCGACTTTATTTCCTTGAAGCAGATGCATTTTTTTGCAGAGGAATTATTTCCTCTATTATTTCTTATAATTGGCTTTTAGAAGCAATTAACTTGACAATCTATTATTATTATAAATTCGCTTGGCTTATGCCTTAGATTTTTTTTGATCATCCATTTAAAGACATCTTTTGACAAATTGTTTGTTGTCGCTCTAACTATTTTATGTTTATTCCTTTATTTAAAATATATGTTCAAAATTATTACGATGTACCAAAACTCCGGACTGTGTTCAACTGTATTTGCATATCAATACTTGAAACTCAACTAAAACAACACGTTCAATAACTTAAAAACTTAAAACAAACAAACCAAACATCGACCTAATTAAACCATTTGTTTGGCAAATTATTTTTGTTTTATCAAATATTATGTACGTTTTATCTACAAAAAAAAAAAAAAAATATATATATATATATATATATATATACATGTACATATATATATATATGTTAATTCAACTTGAAATAAAAAGAAACTTTTAAATGAAACCGTAACCTCAAATGATGACCCAAACCCGATGGGATTCAACAATAAAACAAATATTAATAATACTATTGAGCATATCAATCGTATTTTATTGACACCAGGAGCATTGGATGGCGATAACTTGAATAAGGTCAGCGCCTTCTTTTTCTCTCTGTCTACTTCAACAAAATTAATTATGAATTGTTTGAGGGGAGAAATTTTTATACCTATAAACATTTTTTCTTATCCTAATTAATTAATTGATATCATTCTTCCTTCTTGAATAGCAGTTCATTTTTAAGTTTGTTTTTTAATTTTGTTGTTCGATTATATTTATTTCTTTAAAATACTGAGTTTAATTATCATTTCATTTACTAATTTGTTTGGTTTAATTTTATTTTATTTTTATTCTCCGCATATACTTTTTTTAGCTGTTCAACGATTCGGAACTTTTGGGCACTTATGGTTTGGCTTTTTCCGGCGACAATAGTAATAATGAAAAAAAAGGTGAATATTTTTTTTTTTTTAAAACGCTTTATTATAAAATCCTTTATTGAATTTTTCATAACGTTTAAGGTTCTGAATTAATGGCCTGTCATCCTATGTACGATTTATCTGATATTATTTCCGATATTAACGATCAAAATGATTTAGATGGTAAGTAAGATATTTGTTCATTTGTTGGAGGACGGTTTAAAATAAATGCTTTTAATGTGTTTAATACAGCAAAAAATAAAAATCAAAATATTCTCTCTTAAAACATATGGTGGAAGTAATTTGCGACCCATACAACTTATGCATCCTTCATCTGTAATCTCTGGCAAAAGAAAGTCTTTTGAAAATTTTATCTAGCTTAGCGAACGAATGCTTCTTTTTCTCATAAGTATGAATGTTTTTTTTTTTTTTTTTGTTATTACATGCATGAATTTCTAATTGTCTATATAACTTACGACCATTTTCATAATATATCCTAAAGGGTTGATCTCCCGCTTAGAGTGCAAAAAAAAGAACGAAAGAAATTTTAAGCAAAAACTACTCTTTACGTTTTCATTTATATTTCTTTACGTTAGCTTTAGTTTTGTGCAAATACTAATGTGACTTTGTGTGCTCGTTATGAATGTAGGCAGTGTTATAAAATATCGCCATTCCCATTTCATTTCTTTTTATATCCACCATAACGAATATCGTAGATTTACGAAATGCTTTCGAAACCATCGAAATAAGCAAAGGAGCTTTCAATATCTGTTGATGTCGTGATATTCAAAACTTTGTCCGGTCGAAAAAATGTGGATGTTTAAAAATTCAGATTCCTGAGGCTCAGTACATTTAAAAAAAAAAAAAAGCTTTTTTTATATTACGATCTTAACAGATTCGCTTAAATTGTTTGCTGCCTCTAGAAACCAACAAAATCAAGTTTAATTCAAATTTGCGCTTAAAAGTGTTGACAGTGAGATTTTACAAAACTCATATTTTCTTCGAGTTGCTCTGCAATATTTCTAATTTTCCAAATTCTCGAGCAATTTTATAATTTTCATTTTATTCAGCATTCCGGATAGGGTGTCATCAAATCGACTATAATATATTATTTTAATTATTTATTGAAAACTTCTCAATCTTCATACAAATTAGCGGTGGATATAAAATGATTTGTTTTAAAAGTCTCATATTGCTTTTCTCTTCATGTCATAATTATATAATCGACTCCGAATAACGCAGTTGTTCCAATTTCTTGCAATTGCAGTTACTTTACTTCGCAAATACAATTTGGGTAGGCTGCGTACTGAAATACAGCTGCAAACTTCTGAATCGATTATTGATTACTCATGCCCGCCACTTGAGACTAATTACATGATATTAGAATTGTTATTTCGTAACGCCTAGACATATAGATAAATTGATTTAGCAATATTTGCTGTAAAAGATGCTGGTCCGTTTATTCCTCCACTAACTACTTCCCAACCACTACTACATTAGCCTCATTATTTCCTTCCTAACAATCACACACGTACGATAACATATATTCGATCACCCTGAGATTTTTCACCTCAAATCAATTCAGTTGTGCCCGGTTGCAGTTGGACACTTACGGACATGAAATTGGGGCTAGAAAGCTGATGTCGACATCAAAAGCTCAAAAAAAAAAAACTCGAAAATTCAAAAAATTTTTAATAAATTGCGAATTTGCAATTTATAGCAAACATTGACCTAAAAATCAAAACAAATTGTTTGAGTTAATTCACAGTTAAAAAAAAAAAACGCGCTGAGACTTTTATATATACGTCCGAAGTGGTGAGTATTCAATATTCGTTTTAAAAACGAATATAATTCTTTTAAAATTTTTTAATTTTGGTGGAGGATGCTGGAACATTCTATACTATGTGTAGTGCTTATTCATTTTATTGTATAATTTAACTAAATTTCAGGTAAAAAAGGTTGCTAGAACAAATTTCGCTCATAAGGTCTTCCCGCCCCCAACCCCGCTCCCAAAAAAAAAAAAATAAATAAAAATAAAACGAACCTTTTTCTAGGAAAAAGAAAGTATTAAAGTATAAAAGCAAAAGCGAAAAACATGTTTTTTTCTTTTCCCAGCCGATGCTGATGTCCTCGGTACATCATATCGTCAAGCCGAAGAAGAAGAAGCTCAACCCAGTTCCGTATTGAATACACCGCATCATGAATAAAAACTCAAGAAAAATGAAGAATTGCAGCTAAAATTCTAAATTCTCAGCAAAACATAACAACAGCCGTGTTTTAATTTATTGCAGTCCATTCTCATATATATATATATATATATATATATATATGCGAATAGAGAATATAAGAACAGTTTTTTTTTGTTTCTCTGTAAGAAAGCTTTTATATTTATTATATAAAAAAAAAAAGAAGAAGAGAGAATGGTTTGTAAGTTTTATATATACATATGTAGTAAAACAAAAAAGTGATAACTGAAAAAAGAGAAAAGAAAAAAAAAAATTACCTATAATTAGTTAATAGTTAATGCAGTCATGGAATTCATTTTTTTTGTGAAAACATTAACAATAATTTTTAAAAGTTTTTGATTCTCTTTAAAACGTTTAACGTTCAAAACATTGTTTTCAATAACAATTTGAAAGGACAAATAGAAAAACGAATATCTTTTTGTATACTAATTAACTATAGACGATAATCAATTTAAATAACAATGGAATAAACAGTGGAACAAATATA